TTTTTTTTTTTTTTTTTTTTTTTCAACGGGTTTGATTGTGGATCTGGTCCTAACTATCACACCATTAAGTTTAGGCTGTTAAATTCTACGACACATTTATCATTTGTTTTGTATTTATATTATTCTTTTTATATGTTATTATCATTATTGTTACTTAAGCTGCACCTCATCCCTTATAATTTAGACTACGTGCTCTTTGTTCTCCTAATCACTTTTTCCAATGGCCTTTTCCAGACAAATAAGAAAAAATAAACACCCAAGTAAGATCAGATTTCAAACATACACATTTAGATCAGATTTTCAAGCATAAATATTAGACTTATAAACACAACCAACAATATCAGAAAATTAGATTCATAATATGATTAAGAGTATCATATATAGCAATATACTCATCATATTTTCGGATTTCAAAGAATATCAACAATAACAAAATCAGAAAAATTTCAAATAACCATAACATTACATTTTTTAAAAGAAACCAAATAAAGAACACTTTAAACAAAGTATTAGAAACTCCAAAAAGATCATTTACATGTATGGTTTATGAAATAACATCAGACACGACAACAAAGGTAGTGATGGTTCTTTAGATTTAGTAACGGTGGTGGCTAGGGTTTCTTTGTTGGAAACATTGAATGAAGAAGAAGATCGGTGGTAGTGCGCCTTGTCGGAAATAGAAGGGTGGGGGACACAAGGAAGAGGAAAGACGTACTGGGCTAAATAAAGGGGTTAGGGTTTTTTAGGTTAATAATTCGAATAAAATAAAGATATTAATAAATATACAAAACAGAGGTCTAAATACTAACTTTACATGGTTTAGCGTATGTAAATTAAGGCCTATTAAATGGAGGGACCAAATCCGTTGAAAATGACAAAATTTATAATTTGAAAACCACAAGGACTAAAACCGCAAAACTCAAGAAACCACAAGAACCAAATTTGAAGTTTACTCTTATTAATATTTGATCACTCCAATAAATTCTTCTTGTAAATCTTCTTTCAAGTGATGTGGCTAAGTCGAGTTTATTTTTGGTATGAAGAATTATAAGGTAGTTGTTGATATGCTAGTAATCATATATAGCATAATTGAAAGACTATTGGTTTTGATGTGAATGGTATTAAAACTCTTGGTTTGAAGATGATGTTAGTATTTCGGGACAAAAATTTCAATGTAAAAAATGGAATGGAATTATTTTTTCACATTTTCTAATTCTAAACAAAGAAAATAAAATCAAATTGATTTTATCAAAACTTCCCAAAAGAATTCCTTTTTTTTTTTTTTTTTTTTTTTAGTTTCCTGCTTCACCTACCCCAAACCTCAAAGCACCAGATTACATATGATCACCAACCTACCACTATGTTTCCCCTCCGATCCACCCTACAAATACGCCTACATCCTCCTAAACATTCAAATCGTACCAACAGAAAATGTCGTCAGCAAGCTCCACCTTTGCCAAAAACCCTGGAGGAGTCATCAAATGCAAAGGTAATTTCCGTTCTTTTCAAATCGTTATTTGGTAGTATTAGATGTGGTTGGTGATGATTCTGAAAATTAACTACCTATTACATTTACAGCTGCGGTGGCATCGGGGGCAGGGGAAGCAATGGTGATTGAAGAGGTGGAAGTCAACCCACCGCAACCGTCGGAAATACGGATCAAGGTTGTTTCCACCTCCCTTTGTCGCAGCGATGTCACCGCTTGGCTCTCTCAGGTTAGCTATTGCATTTGATCTTCTAAACTGTAGAATACATTGAAATTCATCTCAATGTATTCGAAAATTACATTACTCTAATACGATAAATTGACCTTTTAGGGAGGGAGTATAATTAATAATTGTAAGGGTGAATGAAGAAATTTCAATTACTACTCTAACCCTATTTGTATTGCAACAGTTTCCATTTGAGATTTCATTATTATTTGTGGGTTTTCTCTTATTCTCAATGCAATATTACCTATTTTCCTCTTGTCATCATCACAAACTATGTTGTATCATGATCCTTTTGGAGTATTTTTGAGACTGTGGTTAGTCTCCAATAATCAGTTCAGAGTGTTTGTCAAATATGATAATGATTGCCTTAAGGAGACTAATTATTATGATCAATTTGAAAGTACCTAACTATCTCAAAGTATCTAATTATAGAATAGAACAATGTCACTAATTAGTAACCATGTTTCACAGTTGTTCCATTATTGTAACATTTGTTCTATTGTGAATTTTTGTTGAATTAGTACTTATATTGATGTTCGCTGTAATGATTATAATTATCATGTACACAATATATGATGATAATATAGATATGTAGATAGTCACTGAAGCCCATATGTCCTCCATGTTCTGTCTGTTACAATGCTTACACCTCATCACTTTGACATGTCATCTCTCATCATTGTACATAACTGGTTTAGTTAAGTTTAATACTAGTTTGTTAAGAAGTTAGTTAGAGTATACATTCTGTATATATTCCTTCATGTAAATGTAAATACTATATTGGTCTTCTTTAGCTTGAACATTCATGTATAAAAACTGGATTTTAATTTTTTTCAGGCACAACCTCGACTATTTCCTAGAATATTTGGGCATGAAGCATCAGGGTAAGTATCAACACTTGTCATAACATATAATCAGAAAATAGAATACAATGCTGTAATAAGAAAAAATTAATTTATTCTGGTATTTTTTGCATTGCAGGATTGTGGAGAGTGTGGGAGAAGGAGTAACTGAATTTGCAGAAGGTGACCATGTTCTGACATTGTTCATTGGAGAATGCATGGATTGCAAACAATGTGTTTCTGGAAAAAGCAACATTTGCCAAAAACTAGGGTTAGAAAGAAAAGGTGTAATGCATAGTGATCAAAAAACTCGGTTTTTTGTCAAAGGGAAGCCCATTTATCACTATTGTGCTGTTTCTAGTTTTAGTGAATATACAGTTGTTAATTCTGGATGTGCTGTAAAAATCACCAAAACTGCCCCTCTAGAAAAAGTTTGCCTCCTCAGTTGTGGAACAGCAGCAGGTAAGTAAACAAACTTTGTAAAACATAAATTTGCATAATTGGTCCCTCAAGTTTCAAAGTTGCAAATTTGGCCATACTTTTGTTGTGGTTTTTGTCCCTTCTCAAAATGAAAAAGACTATTTTGCCCTTTTGGCATCCTTTTGTTGTGGTTTTGGTCCCTCCTCAATTTGAGAAAGACTATTTTGCCCTTCTGATGTCTTTTCTAGATAATTTTAAGTTGTATTAAATAAGGGACCCATTTTTTTAGTCATTTGAAAAGAAAATCAAAAAGAAATTATGTAAGGGCAAAATAGTCTTTTCAAGTTAAAACAGGGACGAAAACCGCAACAAAAGTAATGCCAAAAGGACCAAATTTGAAAATTTGAAACTTGAGGGACCAAAACGAAAGAAAATGGCAAACCACAAGGACCGATTTTGCATTATTCATAAATAAGAAAATTGTTTATTTTTATTTGTTATAGGTTTGGGTGCAGCTTGGAATGTTGCTGATGTTTGTAAAGGATCAACAGTTGCCATTTTTGGTTTGGGAACTGTAGGGTTATCTGTAAGTGTATCTAAACCTGTTTTTATAACATTTTTATTGGTTAATTGAAATGTGAATTGATTAGGTTGCACAAGGTGCTAAAATAAGGGGCGCATCTAGGATAATTGGGGTGGACACTAATCCTGAAAAGAAAGAGAAAGGTAATAACACACGATTTATTTTCATAACAAGGAGTCTTTCTTGATGTGATTAATTAGTATATAAAAATTGTTGATGAATCATGAATTTTGTTATTTGTGCAGCAAAAGCTTTTGGAGTAACAGATTTCATCAACCCAAATGACATTGATGAGACAGTTCAACAGGTATGCTAATACTATGTTTATGTTAATAAATAATAATAATGATTTTATAACCAATAGTTGATTTCTTATAGTATTTATGATTTCAGGCTATCAAGCGACTTACAGATGGTGGTGTAGACTATTCATTTGAATGCATTGGAGACACTGAGATGATAAATACAGCTTTGCATTCTTGCTGTGATGTAACCTAACTAACTCCTTTCTTAATCTCTTAATTTTTAAAAAATAAAAAATTCTATTTGAGATAATTATTTTTGTCATTAATTAATTATTAGGGGTGGGGTGTGACAGTTACCCTTGGGGTTCCTAAGACAAACCCAGATGTAGCATGTCACTACGGATTATTTCTTACTGGAAGAACACTAAAAGGGTCTCTTTTTGGAGGATGGAAACCAAAATCAGATATTCCCACTTTAATCGACATGTATTTAAAGGAGGTAAACTAGTTTTTTTTTTTTTTTTTTTTTAATTCCAAATATGGGTGAATTTGTTAATGTAACAAAACAACTCTTGTTGTTTGTATGCACAGGAAATCAAGATTGATGACCTCATCACGCATAATTTTCCATTCAAAGACATAAATAAAGCATTCGATTTAATGGTTGCAGGAAAGTGTTTGCGTTGTGTCATTCACATGCCAAACGAATGAACACAAGCACCTTACCTTTGGGTTTTACTTTTTTGTTGTCTCTTTGCAAAATTTGCGCCATAAGTTTTCGTTTATTGATTGAAATCTGTTTGTAGAAATTATAGTTGTTTGGGTTGATCTTTTTAATTGGTAAAATTAGTTGGTTAAATCAAACACCGTAGGTCCTTATGTTTGACTTCGTTAGAATGTCTGAATAAATTGACCAAATACCTCCCATTTTGTCTCTTTTATAATTTTACTAAATATTTAACTATAGGGACTAAATATGAAAATTATACCAACTAGAGTTTGGACCATCGGCGGAAGCTCCGGTATGTTAAAAAACGCAGTTTGACACCATATATACAACGAAGACGATTAAATCATATAAAATGGAGCACAAAAATATCAAAATAAAACATGGATACAAACAATTGACTTGAAAGTGTATCTTTAAGAAATTAATAAAAAAAAAGATTATTAAAAAATTATATAAAGGGTCAAAATGTAACTTTAAAATATAGTAAGTGACCAAATTATAATATATAAAATACTAATAAATTAACTTTAAAATTATAAGGGTTTAAAACTGTTAAATAAAAATTAATTAAGGAGGAAGAATATAAATATATATAAATTTTAAAATTATAAGGATA